ACCCAGCCAGTACAGTCTGAGCTTTCACCCTCTCACCCAGTGTCTCCCTAACCCTGCTGCCTGGTTACACGCCCTCAACCTATTCCTAGAGCCACTGGGGAAGAGGACGTCCTGCAGGCTACAGAGCAGGTGGCTTTTGGTGATTATTTATAAAAGGGAAAACCGCCAGCCCCAAAGAGGAGGCTGGGCCTATTCCTTTTAACAAGAGATGGGAATTGGCTGGGCTGAGGTTACCTCTTAAACAGGCAGCCACTGCAGGGCAGAATTCGCAGGTCCTCCACCCAGCCTGCTACCGCATGAGGTTTAAACATTAAACTGTGAGGTGAGGTGGCCTTAATTTAAAAGCAGACTGTTTTATAAGGCGCACGGTGCCGTCTAGACTTGGGACGTTATGAAAGAGGTTGTGTTGTGTGTTACGCTCAAACACCTGAGTGCCCTGCTCTGCTGTGTTCTCTGACTTGGACAGGAAGAAATTGGGTTTTGGGGGGCGGAGGGTGTGTGATTTCAGACATTTGGTAATCTCTTCCTGCTGGGCCCTTTCCTTACTTCTGTTTTTCTTTGTAGATGTGAGAATTGAGGAAAACTGGAGAGGTGGTTTCCTCCTAGTGCCAGGCATGTCCGTACATTTCTTTGGTAGCCCCTGGCCATGAGGGTAATTATGTAATTACTGGTATGATTGTATAATTTTTGCTCAGTGCTGGTACCTTCCCCACCCTGCCTCCCACCCCGAGGCCAGGGGCGGAATCGTGCCGGCTCCCTCTCGCAGCCTGGAGCATAGTAGATGGGCAAAAAGAAGCAAACGAGCAGTCAGAATTCATAAAGCCTGAAGTCGCTATATTGAGGCAGACTTCTGATTTCAAGTAGGAACATTCTTTTTTAAATGTATTATTTATTATTATTTTTTTGAGACAGAGTCTCACTCTGTTGCCCTGGTGGAGTGACGTGGCATCATAGCTTACAGCAGCCTCAAACTTAAGGGATCCTCTTGCCTCAGCCTCCCAAGTAGCTGGGACTACAGGTGCCTTGCACAATACCCAGCTAGTTTTTCTGTTTTTGGTAGAGACATCTTGCTCTTCCTCAGGCTGGTTTTAAACTCCTCTACGTTCAAGCAATTCACCTGCCTCGGCCTCCCCGAGTGCTAGGATTACAGGCATGAGCCCCTGTGCCTAGCCCCCAGCTGGAACAGTCTATTCCTCTGTTCAGCTTCATGGGCACACCTAAGAAGGAGACAGGGGAAGATGGTCGTGGAATCAAAGTATTTATCCTCCTGCCTGGTTTTGCACTCAGGGACCATGATGCTGATCGTGGGCTCACCTGTTCTGAGCTTTCTGATGTTTCAGATGAGGTTCTAATTTAAAGATCCAGGATGGAGGTTCTCTTGTTCCTTACATAGTTTGGGACCAGAGTGGTCTCTTTTCCCAAGACTTTCACTCACTGTGTCCCTTGAGAAACCAGGAGGAATTCAAATTTGCTCCCAGGAAGAAAGGAAGAAAAGAATGTTTGACTTACGGGACACTTACTCTGGGTTGAAATTGGCTGACATTTACTGAGCAGCAACCCCAGCCCGGGCATATTCTTAAGCACCTGACGTGCATTTAGGCAGGTACTTTTATTGCGCTACCTGATGAATGAGGGACCTGACCAGGGTCACCCGGCTAGAGAGTGGTTTTAGCCAGGACTCAAAGCCAGGTTCCTAACCATCATGCTATGCTGTCTGCGCACTGGTCCAGTTTATCCTTCAGCTTTGTGAAGCAGATAATCTTACAGGAGCTGCGTTTACAGATTTCCTTCCTATTTCTTAATAGCCCTTGAAAAATGTAACAACCATTCCTAGCTCTCTGGGTCCTATGAACGTAGGTCGAGTATGCAGCAAATAGATGAAGAAGATAATTTTGATTGGTTGAAATACCTCAAAAGAGATAAACAGGGGAAGAGTGGTGGCCATGAGGGTGGCCTTATCAGCGGAGGGGTCAGCTTGAATGATGAGAAGGATGCAAAGATCGGTGTTGTAAGGCCACCTTGTGTGCTATCTGCACCAAATTGTAAGTGGTTGGTGACTGCTGGCTATTATTGTTGTTGTTTTCTTGATTTGCCATTAACAGGCTGTCTGACCTTGGACGGGCTGTCCACTGCTTGGGAGTGGAACTCAATGTCTTCTCTCTGCCTTTGGCAAGCGAGCAGTTCAGAGGGATTTCTAGCACTTGTCTCCTCCTGGGCCCTCACTGCCCCTTTGAACCGGGGGCAGAATGAGCCCTCTCTTACATTTTCAGTGGAAGATTCATTGTAGGAAGAGGGCAGCTTTTGTGGAGGGATAGCCACCATGGTCATTAACATTTAAGAAACCCCTTGAGTTTCCTCGGTGCTGAGCGGGGTATTGTGGGAATGTGGGCACTTCCCTTTTCATCATACCCTGCTGGAAGCATCGTCCTGGCGATTGTACCGTGGGACCATCTTCCTTGCTAGGCTGTCAGGGGGCTTATTTTTGTACCCCTTAGAATGTAGCTACACTCCCTGCCCTTGGATGGTGAAAGAATTTGTTCCTATTGTAGTTTGACAATAGGGTCTCCTGGAGGCCAAGTTCAGCTTGCTGCATAATCAGAGGGGTGGTTTCTACCCAGGGCCCGTCTCTAACTTATGGAGGAATGTAGGAGTCAGTCCAAAGCCTCCCACATTCTCCACGGCCTGCATGTGCTCCCTGTCTGCTTCCTCCAAGAACAAGCTCCTGGGGTTGCAGGCCTTACTTGGATAAAATAAAGCCTTCCAGTCCTATCTTTACATTTGACGTAAGCGAAGGGAGGCTTTTTTGCTACATACTGAATGGGGCTGTCGTGACTGCCTGGGGTAGTGCTGAGCCTGGCACCATCGTCAAAGGGGCCTTTAAGCTGGAGGCACATTCATCTCTGCACAGCTCCTTCTGCCCAGACATGGGTGCACCCGTGGTGGAAGGGAGGTGGCGCCTGCCCGTGGGTCACAGCAGGGCCTTCTGTCTTTCATATCTGCCTTCTGCATTCCTTGCTTGCCCATGTAGATGGCTGTTATAGGAATCCTCAATCATCCTATTACCACGCCTGTCTCAGCAGTAGTATTTAACTGAGGCGGCCCCTCTCTTTCTGCCCTAATTTCACTACCACGTCTCTGGTCTGAGCTCCCATCACCTAATAACATCAACCCCTCCCTCCCTTCCTCTTTCCCTCCTTCCCTCTCTTTTTTTATTTTTTGAGATAGAGTCTCACTTTGTCACCCTGGGTAGAGTACTGTGGCGTCATAGCTCACAGCAACCTCAAACTCTGGGGCTCAAGCCATTCTCTTGCCTCATCTTCCCGAGTAGCTGGGGCTACAGGTACACACCACAGTGCCTGGCTATTTTTAGAGACGCGGTCTCACTCTAGCTCAGACTGGTCTCGAACCCATGAGCTCGGGTAATCCACTCGCCTCAGCCTCCTAAGTGCTAGGATTAGGGGAGTGAGCCTCTGCACCCAGCCCCTCCTTCCCTTTCTATCAACCTGCCTACCTGCTCATGCTGCTTTCTCAGGTCTACCATATGCCAAGCAAAAGTGTTGAGGCCTGGAGGTAAAGCACTCAATAAGAGCCTCACCCGTGTAGAGTCCAGTAAAGACATTTGTGATGGACTGATTAGTCAATTAAATACTGATTAATCACAACTGGGGAAAGGGCTGCAAAGGAGAAATACAGGGAGCTGTATTAACCTGTCTTTGGGGAGGTCAGCATGCCAGTTGCAGTAAGTAGCTTTCCGATTCTCAGTGGGTCTTAGATGGGCTGATGTTATTTTAGAAATGTTTCCACTCATAGCACCTAGAGAAGTTGCACAGGCTCCTGAGGGGGATCTTTGAAGATGTGCCTGTGAGGCTGTGGTTGACCCTGTGCTAGTCAAGAGGTGGCCGAGGGTTCTGATAACAAGGACAGATTTTTCCTCCAGGTAACTATGTGCCTTCATGATGCAGAAGGGTGGATTAGCTGCCTTTCCTGTAGGAAAGGGTGGCACAGGTGACAGTTGAGGTCACAGGAGGACCAGCTTGGTGGGGAGCTAAGCAGGTTTGCTGAAGCCAGCAGAACAGTTAGTGGGCTTCCTTGTTACCTGTGGGTCCTGCTCCCTTAAGTGGTGCCCCCTACCTCCGCACCCAAGGTGATTAAATTACCAACAAGCTTGTTTATGAGCAAAGACGAATCAGCTGGCAAACACAAGTTTCCTTTATTAGATTTCCATTGTCATTTAATGCCTGTTTCTCTGCGTGTTTCTTTAGAGTAATTGCTCTGTGCGTTGGCCCTGGCAGTTCTCTACAGTTTGGATTTGCAGAAAGCTCACTGGCACTGAGCTTTTGGAACGGTCTGGGCCTGGCAAGGACACTGGCTGTCACTCCCTTTGTTTTACCCTGATCTGTCTCTAGAAGAGCCTTTTTGTCACACCACGTGCTATTGAAGGTACCTCAGGCCAGAGGAAGGATGTCAGGAGGATTTGGCTTCTGAGCAACTGTATAAACACTGCAGAGGCTGGAGTCTTAAAAGCCAAGGTTTGAGGCAGGGCTGGCCTTGAGATTGGCCACAAAATAATGTTTTTTTTTTTTTTTTTTTTTTTTTGCCACCACGCTGCCGCAGTGGAGCTGAGCGGTACCGATTTCACCTAACCGTGTTTAATCATCAATACCCTCTAAACTGAAAGCGCCTCTTTTTCCTCTTCCAGAGGATCAGAATTCTTAGCATCAATGAATCTGCCCTTGTTCTGCAGCCTTTGCTTTATGGAAGGGAAAAAAAAAACCCACCATTCCCAGCCCCAGACTGTTAAAACCTGATGTTGTCTGTTGCTGAGAGAAGGGTGTTTTGCTATAAATGAAAGACATGACAGGGGGTATTTCGAAGCTTTTGTTTTGGTTATTGTCGGTTCTGCCAACAAGTAACATCTGTATTTATTTTCCAAACTCCTCCAATGGCTGATTTGCATCTGTTTAGTTCTCTGAGTAACATTTCATTTCCTGACTTTATAGGTTGCTATAAAATCCATTCGTAAGGACAAAATTAAGGATGAACAAGACATGGTTCACATCAGACGAGAGATTGAGATCATGTCATCCCTCAGCCATCCTCATATCATCAGTATTTATGAAGGTCAGTGATTTTTTTTTTTCCCCACCCCTGTATCAGTTACCATTTCTCATACCATGGGGCCGGCCAAGACTTTTAAGTAATTGCCTTTCTGGGCAGGAGCCAAGTATTTTTCTTCATGATGCAAAAAAGTAGTCGGGTGTTATCTCTTATTTGGTTACCTTGAACGCAACCAGACACGTGAGTGCAGCTCATTTTGGTCATAAAATATCTCCGGTGGATGCTTAGTCTGTCTTCCCAATTCCTTGGCAGTTGCTAAGCAACCCATCTTATTGAAAGGCAGTCTGTGAGACAGCCTTGGTTTCTGAAAAATGACCGTGTGCTGGGTGACCAAATAACAGTGGCTACGTTGTAACTGTCACTCCCCAAAGCCAGTTGCTTTGATAGCGGTCTGAAGAGTCACTCAAAGTTAGGTTCTTGCAGTTAGGCATTAACTCTGAGCAGGTCCAGACAACACCAGGAAAGCGGGTTCGGACAGCAGCTGCTTTGCAAATCGGAATCCAAACTATTGGTGTTTGTAAAAGGGCAGGGTGGGGGAAGGTTTATAAAAATGCTCAGGCTTCATTTCAACCCTTTGGTCCTTCAGGGGAAGACATGGAGAGTATAAACCTCCCACAGACTATCAGTTTTTAAAAAGATCCCCTAAAGAAGTTACACAGCAGTTTGTGTTTACTACAGAAGTGATTGAAATACAAATGTTAGAATTAAAAAAAAATGTGTTCTAACTTCCAACTTAATAAATAGCTCTCTATCCATATCTGTCTCTACTTTTCTATATCCCTATGTGGTTTTTATCCGATATTACATCATACTGTTTATACTGTTTTTTAGCTTTTTTTTTTCCATTTATTATATCATGAATCTCTTCCTGTGTCAATAAATATTCCCCTGTAAAGACATTTGAAAAGCCTTTATAGTATTCCATTTATGGGCATACCGTAATTTATTGAATCTAATTGCCTTTGCCAAACATTTGAGTCGTTCCAAATTTCTGGTTATTATAAACAGGGCTTTCGTGAGCCTCCTTGTGCACCATTTCTGATTATTTTCTTGTGAAAAATTTCTACTTAATAGAAATTAACTTATTAAGACCAAGTGAAGTCCAAAGTGTTTCCCCAGAATATTTTAAAATATATGGTCGAATAAGAAAAATGAACCCATTTTTAATTTCTGACCTGATCGTTTAGTAATCAGGAAACCAGATGACCAGTGACCCTAAAATTTCTCTTGGTACTTTTCGTTTTCCTTCATCTGGTTCCCTGATCGTTTTTGCCATTGTTTTTTCTGCTGCTTCTATTTTTGCTTCTTGTCTCGAAGTAAGTGTTGGTAATGTCTTATCTTGGATCCTGATCTTTTTAAAGCTCATTTTTTCGAGCCTTTGGGGATAGGATTTTCAAGAGAAGTCTTTATCCATTCCATCATGTATTCATTCCACAAACATCTCGTGCAGTAATTCTCCAAGTGCAGTCCCAGGCCAGCGGCAACAGCATCATTTGAGATGAGTAGAAGTTTAAACTCTCAGGCTTTACTCGGGACCGGCTGAATCAGGAATGCAGCAATCTGAGTTTTAGCAGGTTTGAGAATCCCTGGGCTACTGGGTGTCTACTTGTTTAGCATCTGATTCAGTGAGGTTAGAAATTTAATGCTGAAGATGATATGCATCCCTTATTCAAGAAGCAGTACAAAGCAGTGTGGAAACAGTATTAAGTAGATCTGTGAGCAACATAGTCTGAGATGATAGGGGTTAGAAGTGTTGATGAAGATGTATGGCACCTGGGCTTGAAGATGTTTGGGGGGTAAAGAATTGGCAAAAGTAGAATTCCAGGCTGATCAAGAAAAATCTGAAGATGCCTGGCTCAGGTTTCTAGAAGTTAGAAGTAAGCAGAGATACAAAGTGCAGATGAAAGATTTATTAAATTCTTAGTTTTTTCTTGTTCCATGTGGCCTGGTTACCATAGAAACCTCAAGTCCATGTGAAGGATGACTTGTAGGGTGTGGACTCGTGTGGGTCCCGTGCTCTGGGGGCATTGTTGTGTTTTGGTGTTTCTTGGCTGAAAGCGGAAACTTTCTTTATCAGGAAGGCAGACAGGGTTTCTTCTCAGCATGAAGTTTCCGGGTTATTTGTGAGGCTGTCTGAGGCAGCTGGAATCTGGCAAGGAAAAACCTGACTATTTCACCAGCTCCATGCCCTCTTTGGCCTTAGGAATCAGACAAGATGAGTAGGGAATGGGAACCCATCTCCTGCCGCAGGGAAGGTCAAAGATGAACCTTAATGTAAGAACTTTTTATTATCAAGGGCTAGTTGGCCTTAGTACAGACCTTGATGGAGGCTTTAAGAGAAGCTTCTGCTTATCACTTTAAAGATGGGTACGAGTGTGAATTAAAGTTCTTTGATGACTAGAAATACTTTCTGTCAAGGCCTCAGGAGGGACCTTAGGCCTCAACTTGTAAAACCCTTAGAGCAGGTTTTAGGGAGCTCAGACCCAAATCCTTCACTGTGCTTAGACATAAGACTTCGGACAAGGTGGGGGGCCTCTCAGTGCCTTAGTAACCTCACACATAAAGTGGGGATGACCACGCTAGCCCTCTCAGAGGGTTGTCAGTAGATTAAATGGCATGATACATGTACCTGGTGAGCTCTAAAAGATAATTATGAGGACACTGTAATTATCACAAGTAGTTCTTAACCCGGGGTCCAATGACAAGGGTATTTCATGGGGGAACTGCAGGGACCTGTGAGTCCTCTGGAATAGTAATTGTGCTTTCCAATACAGAAGTCCCTAACTACAGCTGGATATTTAAAATTACAATAATTTTTTTTTTTGGAGACAGAGTCTTTTACTCTGTCACCTAGGCTAGAGTGCCATGGCCTCACCCTAGCTCACAGCAACCTCAAAGTCCTGGGCTCATTCAAGCAGTCTTCCTGCCTCAGCCACCTGAGTACCAGGGACTATAGGCACCTGCCACAACACCCAGCTGATTGTCTATTTTTAGTAGAGACGGGACCTCACTGTTGCTCAGGCTGGTCTCGAATTCATGACTTCAAGCAGTCCTCCCACCTCAGCCTCTCAGATTGTTAGGATTACAAGTGTGAGCCACTGCGCTCAGCCTAAAGTAAAAAAAATTTTTTTTTTTTTTTTTTTGAGACAGAGCCTCAAGCTGTCCCCCTGGGCAGAGTGCCGTGGCATTACAGCTCACAGCAACCTCCAACTCCTGGGCTCAAGCGAGTCTCCTGCCTCCGCCTCCCAAGTAGCTGGGACCACAGGTGCCCGCCACAACGCCCGGCTATTTTTTGGTTGCAGCCGTCATTGTTGTTTGGCGGGTCCGGGCTGGGGATTCGAACCCGCCACCTTAGGTGTACGTGGCTAGTGCCTTAGCCGATTGAGCTATAGGCGCTGAGCCAAGTAAAAAAATCTTAAAAAATGAATTCCTCAATCACTGAACCACATTTCAAATGCTCAGTAACCACAGGAGGGTAGTGGCCATGATATCAGACAGTGTAGATACAGAACATTTTCAGCCTTGTAGGAAGTTCTGCTGGACAACGCTTTTAGGTAACATCTTGTGTGTTATTACATGTGATGTTGTACAGGTTATGTTTTTTCCTGATGAGAGCGTGTGTAGCTTTCATCAGACTCTCAAAGGCATTCTTGACCTCAAGTATTTAGTGACTCAGAGTACCGTACAAAGAAAAAGGTATTGTTTTATCCAGAAAACTCCCAGGAACTTAAATGTGGCCTTTATTTCTTTTAATTTCTTAGCGCTCTCTGGTTTCTGTTCTGTTCCCTTTTCCTTCTCCCACACAAGTTCTGTTTCTCCCACATTGACTGAGCAACTGTGGAGGAGGGCTGCTCCCTCCCTCCCCTGGGGGTTAGCAAGAGCAGGAAGGCTCTACTACTCCAGCTCCTCCAACTGACACCCCACAGCTTCCATCCCGGTCCCATGACTTTATCTGCTTTACTGCCCAGCGGGACCCTAAACCCCGGCTTTGAGAGTGAAGTTGGAAGTGTCATCTGGGGAATTCTTCACATTTTACTAAGGTCTCCCACATCTAGTCTCATTTGATTCCCACGGCAAACACATGAGGTGGGCCGGCCAGGTGGCCCCATTTTGCAGTTGTGCACATGGAGACTCTGGACAGTGATTGACTTGCTGGGTGTTTCGTGTGCTAGGGCTGCCGTTACCGAGTGCCACAGACTGGTGGCTTAACCGATGGATAAACACTTTCTCACAGTCTTGGAGGCTGAGACCCTGAGATCAAAGTGGCATCAGGGGCAGTTTCTTCTGAGGGCTGTGATGGATGTGTCCCACGCTTCTCTACTGGGCTTATAGATGGCGTCTCCCTGCTGATTCTTCACATCATCTCCCCGTATGTGTCTTCGTCCAGATTCCCCTTATCATAAGGACACCAGTGATGTAGCTTGGGGCCCATGTTCATGACCTCATTTAAACTTCTCTCCATAAAGACCCTGTGTCTCCAAAGAGGGTCACATTCTGAGGCCCGGGAGGTAGGGCTTCCACATGTGAGTTTTTCTTGGGGTGGGGGGCACAGTTCAGCTCATCACATTGGGCATCACAGCTGGCTGGTGGCCCTGACACAAACGTCTCCTGGCTCCATTTGTCTTTTTCCCTCTGCCATGCCTCAGGCCCATATTTCTGAACATGCCGGTATCTTGTTTTGCTGGTTCTTCAGCCTAGCATTTTCTATCCTGACCTTGGCTGCCTCTGCTACAACCCTGGAATATGGGGCGTGGTGTGCGTGCATGTGAGGGTACAAGGGTAGTGGCAGCAGTGGTGGTGGGACCTGCGTCTGGCAGTCCAGAGTGAGAGGAGACCCCTCTCTCTGGAAGCTGATTGGTTGACAGGTCAGTCACAAGCCTTAGCTCCATGCCGAAATGCATTATTGATTTGCTTAGTGAGAAATCAGTGCTGTGGCACCTAAGTGGCTATTTGGACACTAGCCAAGTGAACAGAAGCTACTTAAGAACTTTACAGATTCTTCT